TGGCCCTATAATATACGCCGCTTGATCATACGAAAATATTCACCCATCGCGCCACGTGTACCATCACACGTACAGAATCCATTTCGGACAAACATCCCCGTACACCTCCGAATCCTACGAACAAACTTTTTTTTATAATTATTTTTATCGGATTTCTTTTTTTCTGCTTTATCAATGTAATCTGCTGGGTCAGTTCCCAGTGCAGACGCACACACTGCACGTTTCTGTTGTTGTAGGCAGTGCATGTCTTATAGTTGTATTCCTCTATTAAGCATGTAGTCCCTGTCTAAAACCACCATTGTCGACCTTCTTGCTACACCTCTCCCTGTCTCGCTCTGTCTTTTTCTCTTCTCCTTCTTCTTCTTCAATTTCAACAAATCACCATGCCACTTCTTTCTTTTTATTTTTATTTTTTTTGTAGAAACATCATTAATGGAGTTGAGATTCAACTAATCCAATACCCACTTCTTTAAATCCTCGCATTTCCCTCTCATAACTTTGTAGCAACTAAAATTACTACTTTTTGTTTCTAACAAAATGTCCCACATCGATTTAGAACACGGCACGCATCATCGCCGGAGTGACGTAAGCGTCGGCGACGGCAGCCTTTGCTTCTCGGACGCTGAAGAGGGCTCCTGCTACTCCCAGTTCTACTCAACTACCGGGGGCTCCTATGATGAATACAGCTTCGCTTGCGTCTCTGATGGGAAAATTGGTGGCCGTGGTGACTCTGATTCGAGGAGGGTGTCTTCGGCGTCTGACACGTCGGTGGTTGTGGAGATAGAACGTGGCCCGCCTGAAATTAAGGTGCATTTGGCCAAAGTAGAGAGAGATTGCAGGATTTGTCATCTGGGGTTGGAGAGTAACAGCCATGAATCTGGAGCTCCCATTCAGTTGGGATGTTCTTGCAAGGATGATTTGGCTGCTGCTCACAAGCAGTGTGCTGAGGCATGGTTCAAGATCAAGGGAAATAAGTGAGTAACAGATACTCTTTTTCTTCTTATTTTAATGCTTTTGTTTATTCTTCCGTATGCATTAATTTTTTTGCTTGGAAATTCCAAATCTTCATCTGATAATTGTCACGACATTCATCTGTTTGTTTGATGTGTTTGTTAGGTTTTGCTACAACTCTAAACATAGAATTTACCTTTACTGATTGAGAATTTCCCTTACTTCTCCAAGAAACTTTAGCAATGATCTTGCCCCGAACCGAAAGGAGTTCATTTTGTGGGCGTTAAATTCTTGAAAATTATAGTTTATTTAATTTATGAAATGCAAGAAGCTGAGTGTATATGAACATTGATATAAAGAAATACAAGGGAAAGTTGGAAGAAACAATACCTTAACAAATAAGTGGATGGGAAAAAGTAAAGCAAAAAGTTAAAGCTAAATTATTAGGAAATCCCACTGATTTGTCTAAATAAGTCCACAATTCCTGCTTGTTCCGTTTCTTTTCCAAGTTAAAGTACCTCTAATCTCTACTTTGTGATTCTTTTGCTTTATCAGAGTGGAGACTTGACCCTCTATTGATGTTTTTCTTGGTGGAAGATTGCAACACCAAAGTAATAATTTTCCATTAGTTAAATGCAGATTCCGGAATCATTTTTTCCCCTGTGTTTAGTGGCAATTGACTTTTCATTTATCATTATATACTCAACTCTCATAAAAAAAATTTCCTGATGCTTAATTATTATGCTCAGCATATCATTAGATATTATTTAGATCCTCAATTCATCATAAAATTGATCGAAAGTGCATTTATTTTTCCACTCTTCGTATGTGTGAATCCTATTTTCGCTTGCTGCGTGTTTCATGTTGTCTCTTCACTCTAGAAACCTCAATATGATAACGTATCAGGAACCTGGTTGTCTAACAGCAGCTAGTAAACAGATTGTGATTTAGTTTCTGAGGAGATTCTATGGTTGGAGTAGGCAGAGAAGAGAGATCAGCAGAGGAAGAAAAGATAGGAAAAAGAGGAGAGTTGAGAGAATAGGAGAAGAAAAATATTAGAGAGGAAAAGACAGGTTTTCTTGGATATTTTCTTGATGATTCTTCTACAAATCTGGATGCTATGTATAGCAGTACTAGAGAGAATCAAACAAAAAATAACAAACTATGTACCAGGTACAGATAGCTGGCATTCCTTTTGTCCTTGTACTGGATATTCGTCTACAATTACATTAATTACATAAAATCGAAGCAGAATAACAGAAATTACATTCATTGCATTCCCAGGTTCTGACATTTCCCCCCTTCTGACCTTGTCCTCAGGGTTTAGCTGCGTAGCAATAATGGGAGAATGAGAGAATGTAGGAGAGTTAGATAAAACTTTTCATAGATTTCAGTATCATTCCAAGGGCATTTGAGGGAAAAATAAGATGCATGGCTTGTTGGTTTTCCCCATCCAATTTTCCACTCATGTTCGCGAACATCCTCAAGATAATGCTCGAGGGCTGGGAGGCTGAAAACAATAGGTTTTTTCGGCTTTAAGGAGCTCTTATGCATGAAGGTCACTTGCTTAAGCGGTTCCTTAGTTTTCATAGTGCCCTTGGTGATCATCTCGTGGATCTATTCTAGTATAGGTTCTTAAATCTATCTTCATGGAATTAGACCAACGGGTTCTGGGGCCTCGGTGGGGTCAGCTCCTCTTTGTCTTCCACTTCCTCTTCTTCTTCATCAATTTCTCCTTCGTCAATTTCTCCTTCTTTGACGTCATTCTGGTTGTCATCTTCGTCTTCTCCTTTACTGGTGAAATTGATTGTTGCTGAGCTTGTGCATACGGTTTGGAGAATCAAATATTGAGGTTTGTTTCATTTCTGGGTTTGCCATGAGAGGGAGGGGCGATTGAGGAGTGGAGAGTAGAAAGATGCTAAAGGGTTTAGGGAGAGTTGGTTCCTGCTTAGAGGAACAGTAGCTTTCATGGTTGGTTAAGTCAACAGCATGGACCTTAACAGACCTATTGTCATCTTCTCTAGCTGCAGAATAATAAATCTTTGGCAGCTATTTTTGTCACAAAGTATTGGATATGCTGATCCAGCCTCCAGACAGACTCTTTGATCTGCGCACCACTCCATGAATCAGGATTTGCAGCTTCTCTCTTGTTTTTTCCCAACTTGGCAAGGGAGGATAATGGTTTGCTCAGATCGTTTGGTTCTGATACCATTTATGGGGAACCTGATTGTCTAACAGAGCTGCAAACAGATTTTGCTTTAGTTTTTAAGGAGATTTTAAGGTCGGAGGAGGCAGAAAAGAGAGATCAGCAGAGGAATAGATAAGAGAAAGAGAAGAGCTGAAAGGATAGAAGAAGAATAATATTAGAGAGGAAAGATGGGTTTTTTTAGATATTTTTCTTGATGATTCTTCTAAAAATTTGGTACAACATACAGCAGTACTACTATAGAGAATAAAACAAAAAATACAAATATTTTCTGTACCAGGTACAGTGACAACTGACGTTCCATTTGTCTTTGTACTGGATATTCTTCTACAATTATATTAATTACAGAAAACTCGAGGAGAGTAATAGAAATTATATCCATTGCATTCCCTAGTCTTGACAACATGATGTATCACCAACCTCATCTCTATACAATTATATTTTAATGCATAGGTCATTTAACCTTAAATAATTGTAAGATTCTCTTAGCAGAAAACTCACACCAAAGAATGGAATGCTTATATCTTGAATAATAAACTTGATTTTATTTACTTTATAAAAAATTTAGCTATTGCATCTACTTACGATAGCCACCATTGTCTTTGTCACTCCGGCCAACTTTTGATACAAATCTTCTCCAGTTGGCTTATAGTCTGGTCTTGGCTCTCATATCATAATTGCAGGATCACAGAGGAACATTTTGATTGATCATTTTACTTGTTGGATGTTATACGAAATACTACGTGTATCTGTTTGTGCATGTGCAACAATTTGCATACTCGAATCCGATAGCTCTTACTGTTAAAAGAGAGCAGCTTGTACATGTGGGAGGCATGGTTATCTCATGGCAATTTGCAAAGTTTCTATCTATAACTCATTTCATTTGGCTTATATCCATGCTACTCTAGCAAGTCTTATTCCATCTTCAAAAACTCATGCTCTCAACTGGACCGAGCATTTACCTTCAACTAGTTGAGATCAATGAGAATCTTACTGGAGCTCATCATTTGAAGTAGTTCCACCTAAATGTTAGACTGCATATTTTATTTCTGCCACCTGTCTTTTATGTTTATGGAACCTTGTTAATTTTACAGGACATGCGAGATTTGTAATTCAGTTGCTCGCAATGTTGCTGGGGCAAATGAGGTTGAATTGGCCGAGCAATCAAACGAGAGTGGTAATGCTATAGCTACAGCAACAGCTGCTGTTTCAGCATCAGTACCGCAGGGAGAGACAAGGAGCTTCTGGCATGGTCATCGTTTCCTGAATTTCCTGCTCGCTTGTATGATATTTGCATTTGTTATATCATGGCTCTTTCACTTCAATGTGCCATCGTCGTGAACTTCCACTGAACACAGCCTGTGCAAAAGAGAAAAATAAAGAGGAAACAGAAAAAAGAAAATGACAATTGTGTGAAAGGACCTGCAAAATTTCTTAGGTACTTACAGGTTGATATCTTCTCCATAATACATGTAGAAAGTTTGTTTATCTATATACATGCATATCCCAAATATTTATCAGAGCTTTGTCTGGCTTATTGTACTCCAGTATCACACACGCACGCACACACAGATGCAAACTTTTAAGAAGGCCCCCATAATTTTATATAATTGCTGTTGCCCTTCTAATTTAGCAAGATGAATGCTTTGTGACCTTAATAAAACAAGTATACACAACCCTTGTCGCTTGATATCAGTCTCGATATCATAAATACTCAGTTCATGATTAAAATTCTGAAATATATTATGGTTCTTCAACTATTTATATTTTTATGGGAATGTAAAACATCACCAAATTATCCCAAGAAGAACGATTCTTTAAGCATCCAACATTTCTACCAGAATAATGATGCTGAAGACAATTAACTAAAACTTGAGATTTTTTTAAGCAAGAATGTGATATAAATGAAAGGACCAAAGGAATGCAGTGCTGAATTGATCCGAGAATTTGACATGCAAAAGATGAAAGAATAAAAAACAATCAAGGAATACTCCGACAAATTCCTTGGCATTGTGAAACAAAGTAGGACTCCTTGTTACTGATTTTTCTGATTCTAGAATTATTTGGAAAATCTTATTTACAATTCTTGAAAATGTTCGAAGCTACAATTTTATCCACGTAAAACTCTGAAGATCTGTCAAGCATCACCTTTGGCAAAATGATTGAATGCACTGCAAGGACAAGAACAAAGGAGGCTTGTGAGGCAAGGAAATGTGGAGGATGCTTTTCAAGTTAAAGCACAGAACAAAATTGGTGGAAAAATATAAGAAAAAGAAGCAGAATAACAATTACATGCTTGGAGGTGTTCGAAACAACAACTACTAAACTAACAAACAACGGTCAACTCTTTCCTCCTTGCGCATAGTGCAAAAAATCAATCATCCACGAAGAGTATTGGTGAAGGCCAGATGCAAGATGCCCAGATAAATTCCATAAGAAATCAAATTTATTTCAAACTTATCATTAACATCAAATATTAAACAATATCGCATTTTAAATTTTTTAGGAGAAAAAAGTAAATTAATTTAAGTGTCAATTGATATTGCTATCTACGAGAATACTTGTCCAACATAAGTCGTATATTAAATCCTTCTTCCAATGCTATGGCAGTTTGCTAAGAAGCAAGAAAGATGAGATACAACCTTTCCTCAAAAGGAAAGGTGATATATCCTCTAGATTTTTAGGTTTGTAAAACATGCGTCACCCGAATCTTGAGATTAAAATATTAAAAGCCAAACCAAATACCCAAGGATCGTGTGAACTCTGATGGTGAGAGCTCAAATATGAAAACCAGATAAAGCTGAGAAATGAGGAATAAATACAAGAGCCTGAACAAAGCAATGTGGGGAAAGGAGAAATATATATAAAAACAAAAGAACCTATACATATTTAATTCTTGTTCCTTTTCGCCTCCAAGTTAGTGCCATCTTTAAGTGTTTCTTGTGCATCTGCTTCCATGCCAAGACTGAAAAGGCAGGTCGCTTGAAGATATAATGCAGTTGGCCACTCGGGAGACACAACCTGCGCTTGCATGGCATCTCCGAGGGCTTCTTGTGCCATGTCATTCATCAAGTACGATAAGCAGCGCCTGGCATACACAGTTGGTGAAACCATTGTCCCGCCATCAATGAACTACACAAGAAAATGAAATCTATATCACCTTCACTAATTCACATGAGTTTCCAAAAATCCTAAACCAACAAGAACCAATTATTAAAATTCACCCTAGCACAGCCATCTTTGGGTAGGTCTGCTGAAAAAACCTTATCATTTGCATACTTGATTTTTCAAAAAACTTTTCACTCAAGGTGATGATCAGAATGTCCTTTCCAAGAAAAATGCTTTCCAAGAAAAATGTGGACCAAAAGTCTCTTCAACTGTTTCTGAAATACTGCACTTTCATCTATTTACTGCCAACTAAATGCGTTACCTTTTTTCTTCACTATCTCAACATGAGATTGTAGATAATTTATTATCAACAGTTAAAAAGACTTTTTAACAAGCCAAAAAAAAAAAGCTAAGAACAGGCTGTTTAGAAGAATTTATCGCTCTTTTTGCAGAATTTTTCCTGAGGAAGCTGGAAGAATGTATCTGAAAATAAATCCAATACCTGAATCACAAGAAAAAAAAATTCTCCAAGTGTAATGACTTACTTGTGTATAGCAATCAATGGCAGTAGAAAAATCCTTTGCTCGAAAAGCAGTATCCCCATGCTTTTTAGAATTCAATGTCTCCTGCATTTGGCTGGTCCACATTTGAAAGGATAGCTGCAATGCCATAGAATTATTAGCATCAAGGCCAGACAAATTAAAGTAGAGTTGAAGCATTGTTAAGCAGACCATCCAAATGGCTTTCTTGTCTCCCTTTTTTATTCTCAATTCTTTTTACGATGGTTTAAAAAATTCATGCCTAGCAAGAATTTATCATTTATAATGGTCCACATCCTTTTATCCAGCCACATTTTGTATAGCAGCTTTTCCAAGAACAATTCTCAACCTACCTGGCAAGACCTATTAGATTCTACAAAATGTCAAAAGCAAAATTCTAACTTCTGACAATCAGCAGTTTGCCATATGACAAAGATAGGTATCAACAGCATACCTCATTGGCAATCCCCTCATCATCCTTGTATCCGGTCTTCTCTAATATTTCATGTATGGCAGTAAGATCTATTCTCAAGCAAGCCTCACCAAAAGGTGTCAATGACAATGGCTGTGTTGCAGATGCCGCTTCATTTGGGATACCCATCAAAACATAAGATGGGACCTACAATAACTTTAATTATTAGTAAGATCTTCTACAACAAAAAGCAAAAAGAGAAAATCTCTGAATTGATATTCAAATTAGTATCACACAAGCTGGAGACCGTAATCTCTTTTTTTTTTTTCTTTTGAGATAACCGGGGACCAGAATATAAACTCATAGGCAAAATCAACACAAAAAAAACTAGCACAAGTGAACACCACACAAGTGAGCACCATGAAACCATTGCTAACGCCAACTAACTACACAAAAATAAATAAGATATAAATAATGATGAATTTAACTTCACAACCTCCTCCAAAGACACAACAAATTGCATTCATTACTGCAAATCTGCAACTGAGAACCTTGACATTTCTCAAGTTTACTTGCCAATTACAGAAATCTTTAAATGAAATCAGCTATAACTGAACATAATTAATTCCTCAACAACCCAAGAGAAAGACAACTTTTTATTTGACTAATGTGCTCAGGATCACAGTCTGTGATATTGGAAGAAAATTTGGAGAGAACTAACAAAGCAAGCAAACAAAAGCAAAATACATGGTATGACCTAGAAGCTGACATTCGTTGGTCAGAAACAACAAAACATCATGAATCCTACCAGCTTCTCTGCTAGTAAAACTTCATTTTACCCCATGTTCTCACTACATACACTCTCCAATATACCAGCTTTCCTCTCCGACTCTCCCAGGATACCACTCTTAGATACCCTTTCCCATTTGCCTAACATCATGAATCATCCAAGTACAGTAGGCTTAACCTGTAATAGCACAAAACACATAGGTTGCAGTATAATAGATGTCTATAACTACCATTTTTCACTTGGCAAACAGTACAGACACAATATTCACTGTTACTGATTGAAATATAAGAGTGTAAACTCAGTGCAGCTACTTGCATTTTGAGCTGCATTACGTTAATTTGGCATCTACAACTGGATACTACGAGACTTAATATATAAAAACAGTGTTCAAATGAATCTTTGAACTAAGAAAAAAAGACAACATGAGATACATGGTCAGAACTTTCTTTAAAAACTCAAAATGATACTTACCTCTGATTCTTTCTGAAGTGACATCAAAGCAGTGACAAGGGACTTTGCATTTGGCCTCTCACGAGCTTCATACTGTAAACAACGGGTAGCTAGTCGCACTAGTTCAGTTCCATCATCATTGGAAAAATGACCCTCCAAAGCAGAGTCCATTAGCATCAGAAAATTCTTTCCACGAATCAAGTCAAGTGCCTGGGAACAAGTTGAACAGGTTGTTAATCGTTAAAAGAAACACACACACACTAATTAACTCGAGACAGAATAAATGACCCCCAACAAAATGAGTATGGCATCAGATAATTGCCCAGGAACTTCCACGCAATTAAAGAAAAAGCTATAAAGCTAACTCAGCGTGAAGTAATATAGAAACAG